GACCCCCCCCCCCCGACCCGTACTGACGATGGTTCATTAATGAAGTGATCGTCTTCTGTTATGTAGCTCCGGGAAAGCTAAAAGCCTTCTGTCCGGGACAGACCGTATTCCAAATCACAGTCATCGTTGGGGTGCTGAGGAACTTGTACCTGACTACATCTGTCATCCACACAATTGCTCGCGTTTCTTAAACTTGGTTTCTTTTATGTTTATAACAGCAGCCACATACTTTCTGTCACCCACTTTCCGATTTGTTTCAGTACAACAAAATGCTGACCGGTTTAAAGAGAAATTAACGAGTGTTGCATCTCACCATTTTCCCTCGCTTATCGAGATAGCCTGCCATCCTTACAGCGTTGTCTTCTTGCCCCGCCATTCTGGTACGACCTTCCTCGCTCGTCATACTGCCGCTGGTCACTTACTCGATGCAGCTACTAGCAAGCCGTCACTTTCATTACCCTGCAACAAAGGAAACGGATATATCTCACTTATTAGGTCATCTGTTGAGTTGGTATCTGCTTCAAAATGGCGGCTGCTGTACGAAGTCGGTCAACGGCTAATGTTGCGTTAGTTTGTACGGTCAGCAGTACTGCAAAAACAATAAGCCGAATGACGAATGACTTGCAATTAGCTTTCGTTCATAGCCCATAACGGGACACTGAGATTATAATATAACCCGTATTTGGACAGAACCAACGCCATTTACACGTTGCAAAGACAAAAGTTGGTTTCTCAGCACCTGACATAAATTTTAGCAACTGTGAGAGACCATTTACCATAAGCAAGAGATTCGTGTTTGAAAATAATATATTCACATCACCTCCTTTGCAATGTTGCTTCTCATACCTATAGTACTAACACTGACGGCAATATTATAAAACCCCTCTAACAATCGCACCACGATGCTGTGTTTATTATTATTATTATTTTTCTGTTTTGTTTCATTTAGTATTATTAATTGAATTATATTACTTAGGTATATTTAGTTCATTTACTTATTAATTATTTTGTAATAAATTAACATTGTATATTTATATATTTAGTTTATTGTTTGTTTTGGTATTGTAATGTTTGTATTGTTAGTGCTTGGCTATTATTGGCCTTTTTGGCTATTGTTAAGCACTTTAATAAATGAATTGAATTGAATTAATCCGTTACTTTATATATTTGTATGTATGTACGTACGTATGTATGTACAGTGTATTCCGGTTAATTGGGATACATAGAGACTAGAACAATTTGGCCCAATTATGCGAAGTTCCACGTAAAGAGTTAAAAATGTTTGTTCATTAAGATTTGTCCCAAATAAACGGCTGCCCCGATTAACCGATGGCCCAATTAACCGGAATCTATGTTATCTATCTTATACGTACAAACAGATTTTCACTTCGCTTGTTCGTTAGTTGTCGTTATATGACGGATTAACAAATACAGAGTATTCCCTTCAGGCCACGCAACCAAAATTTTGTACGCATTTCTCATTTCCTCCATAATCGTTTGATAATATTCAGTACACAGTATAAATTACGAAGCTCCCAAATGTTCAATTTTCTCCAGTTCAAGTTCACCGGCAGAAATAAATAAATTAGGAAGCTCCTGTTTCTGTAATTTTTTTCGGAGTGTTTGATGATCAGAAGAACCCGTAATCAACGACTACCGAATGAAGACCCTGAGTTCGGAAGGTCGCTTTTAGTTAAATGGTGTGAGATGAATGGGGTTAAGGGTATGATACATTAACCAATCGAACGATTACGATAAAGCAAGTCAATCAGCTGCAAGCAGAACACCAAGCGATCCATTACAGTACAAAGCTAAGGTTCAAGACTGCCAGATGAAGTTTATGTGCACTCTATTAATATTTTAACGTCTTAATACTGTAAGACATTAATTAATTAACTGTAGTTACTAAGACGACGACGACAATCTAAGTAACAACATGTGCAGACTATCACACTTTTAAGGTAACTGCTTTTAAATACAATCTTATGATAGCAAATTAATATTTTCTAGAACTGTTTTAATTGTTACAGTACCACTCTTACTCCGAATATACTTTCACAGGACGTGACCTTCTGACACCCTACATTGAACAGGTTCCAAAAATTCAACAAGAAACTGATGTGAATGAAATGAAATCATTATGATAGCTATGTTCAAAGACGACTATGTAAAACTATGAAAAACAGTGTTTGCACAGTTGATTAATTTAAACATTAAAACCTTCTACCGTGATTTTTCGACAGCAAAGTCACAAAAGCAATTATAAGCTACTAAGTTTGTCACTGTCAATGACCATAATACTAACTGTTGCTGTTAGTAACTATTAATACAAATTCACATTTTATATAGAGTAAAAATGTTTAATCCAAATTTTTGTCTCCTCATATCGTGAGGCCCGATACCTTAGTTCAGTGCTGACTGATCACAGGCCACCAAGCAGTCTTCTCGATGCTGCGTGTTCACACTGGCTCTTGTGTCAATTAACCTTTTATTTAAAGCCAAAATTGCAGGCCTTCGAGCCCGGATGTGAAATGACAATGATAACAAACCTCATATCAGCAGATAAGACATCACACCACAAAAACTTCACACCCTTCATGTTATGTGTATCGGTACTCGGAAGCAGTTCTTTATTCAAACACTCTCTCGCTTATGTTGTATGGGTACCTATCAAATTGAAGGCAACTCACAACAGACCAACTTGTTACAGTCATTCGAAATTACAAAATTTTCAATAAAGTTATACAATTTAACGAGCAATTATTTTACGCTGAATTCATTTTCTGGCACAAAGAACCGTTTGTGAGGAATGTGGTCATTTCGTAGCAACTAAGACAAGCCAAAACCTCAACAGATGGAAATGAAGTTAAGAGAATCTATTCCTTATTATTACTTAGAATAAGTATTAGATTTATCTAAAAACGAAACTATGAATACAATGTCTTACGTTTGTTAGAAATGTCTTTAGAAAATCCATAATGAACCCAGCAACTTTCATTATGAAACTATCGCTATAACATTTGAAGCAGACTTAAAAGAAGTCGGCTTCCGACTGATAAATAATAAATAGAAGCTTTGGCGATGTTAAAATGACATCATTTCCCGATACTCTCTAATCTGTCAAACCACTTCCTTTACATATTTTACGCTTCCTTTCGTAGCCATGTTCAGTTCAAGTTGGTGTTTGAATCTCATAAGCACTTGGCGTCGCAGTAGCAATCAAAAGTCACGTCTTGGAAATTGTAAGCCAAACAGAAAATTAGAGCAAAGTTGCAAATGATCATAATAAATCACCAAACCCGATCAACAACAGCAGTGCCACCAAGACACAAGTGTCACAATTTATTTTAATTTCGTGCGTTGCTTTTTAAAAACACAGCCACTGCATGTAGCTACTAGATCGCTCCGTTCAATAAAAAGCTTTCTTCATTTATTGTATATCTTCGACGGTTTGAAGTCCAATGTAAAAGATAATAACTGTTTGGTCTTTACATTTGGCAACATTGTCGCCGACATTTCGAGTTACTTTGTCTGCACGCCGCGTCTCAACAATTGACACTCCTTAACTCTGTGCATACATATGCAACCCGCCTACTTCACTGCGCCCAGCTATAAGCAGAAGCTCTTGGGTTCGCTACTAGGATTCGCTGTGGTCAAGTTCGCAGAGAGAGAGAGAGAGAGAGAGAGAGAGAGAGAGTGAGAGAGAGTGAGTGTGTGTTGGTAAGCGTGAATCTAGTCTTCGGAGTCTTGGAGGTGCTGTAAGTTTATGTGTGCGAACTCATAATGCAAGAATCTTTGCCGTAACGTTCTGTGTGTGAACAGTGATCGTCGTGCCTGTTATTAGGTTACGGAAAAAGAGTCTGTTCTCGTTTGTCGGTTGAGGTTATGTGTCGATGATTCTCGAGGAATCAAATAAATAAACGCCATGATGCGTTTACGGCATTGATAAGTGACATTTATATACTCAGAAGTGTGTATGGTGTGCCCCCCTCCCCAAGAACAAAAGTACATGTTCAATCAACTGCGTCATCTTCATTGATCTGTCTTTTATATGAACATTTGTCATTTCAGAGTTGGTGATCGTGAAATAATAACATTTTGTTCAGACTGGATGATGACTGCATGCAGCGGCTTGTTACCGTTTAGATTCAGCTGTAACAATTAATGCCCAGGTAAATGTTAGGTGGAGGGAATATGTTTAGCAATTCTTACTAATATAGGTTCATTGGTTCCCAATAGTTTATGTCGATCAGATAGAAAGGTGAGTAAGACCACTGAATTTGTTACTACTGGCAGTCCTTGAAGGGTCTTGCAAAGATAATGATTGAACAATGAAACTGTTTCGAGTAAACAATGACGCTTGTTCAACCAGAAAAAAAGGCATGTAAAACGTCTAAATGCAGAAACAATACAAAATATGTCATTTGTATTCACATTCACGGACGTCAATGAAGAAGACAGGCCATTGTTTACTTTGAATTAAACACTTGGCTACAGAGGCTTGCGGAAAAGTGTTTCTACACATAAATAAATGAGTTTAATAAACAAAAACAAGCATTTGAAAAAATAATAACTGTTGCAACGAAAACATCGCTTGCATCATTAAAGTTCAATAAAAAAAATCACCAAATGTAAAAAAATAAAACTCATTTGACTGGAAAAACTTCAGTGTTATCTTTTACGACTAGGTTAGCTGAAACAATCCTCAGTAAATCGTGCTAAAAATAGATCAGGCAACCCACGTTCTGAATGTGTTGAAAAAATGTAAAAAAATGTTTTTAAACTTATGGATGGCAGAGCTACGCCACTGGAAGTGTTCAATACAATTAACCATTCTCATTTTAATTCTTTAAATAATACAGGCAGACAACCTGCGCAAACTACATCCCATCAATAATTTATTTTCTTCGGTATGCTTATCTCATTGTTGCAAAGTTCTATGTCACTTTCTCTTATTGTTGGTAAACGATGTGCAAGAATGTACCCAGAACTCCAGACCTTGATAAATTTCCTGCAACTGGGTGTATGCAGATTTCTAGACTTATCTGAGATTCTAGGTTCCAACTACGGCGAAGATGTCGGTTGTGGCCTTATGGGTTGAAGATGGAGGTGATAAGTTCTTCCGAAACGTTCGTAACCATCTTCCAGAACACGGCGTCACAACCCATAAAGACAACGACCGACTCCTAGACCAACGTTTCCTGTTTTCTAATAAACACAACGCTACCGAAGTGTGCAGTATTCATGATAATACCTCTGTTAGTTTTTAAACTTCATAAGCTCAAAGCGTTCTTCATGAGGGCCATCCGTTAAGTCATGCCTTGTAAACCGACACCCCGCAGAGCTCCGTAATTAGTCCACGTCCACAGGGCCCTCATCTCTCAAAGATGCGGGTCATGTAGGGGTCACATTTCGTACAAGGGTAATTGATAGGATTTAAATACGGTCCTGTTAGATTT